CGATGCTCTATCCACTGAGCCAAAACGGTTAGGGCCAATGCGTGTTTTAACCACCCCATTCCTTGGTCTCGTACCTGACTTCCTGAGTCAGTATGTCTGAGGGTGCGGGTCCTGGAAACTATGAATCAGTCCCACTGAGGTTCAGATGCAGCCCAGTTTGGACACCTGTTGGCTACTTCCTTCGAGCTGCCAGTGCATCCCCCATGGCGTCTGAGCTGGGACTGAGGGTAACATGGAGACCAAGGGAAGACCCAGGGGTAAACTGAATACAGAGCAAGGCTGACGCGTCAGGGGCCCGGGGTCAGGAATCACCTTGAGCAGGGAGGTGCGAGGCACACAGAGCAAGTTGACAGCCATGGAGAGCTTCCGGAAGAACTCCATGGCAATGTCTCCCAGGCCAGCCCCCTGCAGCCAGTCCAAGACAAGGTCCAGGTTGGTCCGGATTTGCACAGCTCGAGACCACTGATAGAAAGGCCGGCCTTGACCTGTGGGGGAAGGGTAGGAGCAGCAATGGGTACATGGACCCTGCCCTTCTGCCTCCCAGGCCCTTCCTGTTCTTCAGCTGGGGACCCGGAGCTTGCTTTCCAGAGTGCATAAGAGTTAGGCCTCAGCCCGTGACCGGTCTGACTTGACCTGGGTCTCAGGGCCTCCTGTCTCTGCCTCCTTGCCCGTCCCAGTCTGACGCTCACCTCGTTCCATCAGTGAGTTGAGAAGGGATGCATTGGAGAAGAAGAACAAGTAGCCGAAAGTCTGAGACACAAGGTCCGGGTGCAGCTCGCACTGGCTGGTCAGTTCCAGAGCTGCCTGGAACACGCCCAGGGTCGGTCTCAAACCCGGAGGCATGGCCTCCAGCTCTGCGCCAGGTCCGGGAAGCTCTGCCCCACCTGTGAAGGGGTTACTATCCAGGAGAGCTGGCAGCGTTGAATACAGAGTCTGAGGAGATAGAGAGATGCCAACAAGATCAGACTACAACTCCCTAGAAGTGCCAGGGGAGCCGCATAGGAAGATCCTGGGGAGCTCCGCCAAAGGTTTCTGGGAATTGTAGTCCACTTTGCCTTCAACACCCTAAAGATCTCCATGAGTAAAGTCCT